AATATATCTTAAATATACGTGTTTAAAAATAATTCTTTTATATATTAATATCTGATCTTTTTTTTTCAATTTTACAGTAATAAAAACAAACAAAATGCATAATAATTCTAAGAAAATATTGAAAACTGATATTTAAAGGAAATAACCGCCACAGCATTTGTTTTATAAACAAAGGTGCTATTCATTTGTTGCTCCTAAATTAATAGGCAAATATATTTTTTTATATGCGTATTCGTGACAGAGATTTCACACATAATGATTGTTTTCAAATCAAAACGAATACTATTATATACTCTAAGGAAAAAATGTGTGCCTCTATTACAGGATATTAAATTTCATAGTAACATAAATATAAACCTAACTACAGGCCTAAAAACATTACAAGAGCTTTTTAAGAAGAATAATTACGAAATAAGAATCGTAGGTGGAGCGGTTCGCGATATATTATTGAATAAGGTTCCAAAAGATTATGATTTTGCAACAACAGCAACTCCAGCAAAAATGAAAATGATCTTTGAAGAAAAAGGTATGAAACTTTTTATTATATAGTTTTATTTTTTTGCTTATCCCTAGTACACATGGTACAGGCCATGATAACCATGGTGGGTAGAAGTAGGCGACTGCTTTTACTGTACGTGCACCACATGTCTACACATGTATAAAGCAGTTTGACTTTGCACTTACAAATGTGCCGAGCCCCGTTTGGTTACTTGCACTCGCTGTTGGGGTTGGACTTTTGCAAGAATCAGGAGGCCATTGGAGCATTTTTTTTTTTATCAGAAAAAAAAAGTGTCCAATGCGGGAATCGAACCCGGGTCATAGCAGTCGAAATCCAACGGTTTAGACCATTCTTCCACCGACCCCCTTATCATATAGTAATACTCAGGTTTATTTTTGAGATTGATAATATCTTTACAACTCACACCTCAGATGTTAGCTGTACCTTAGGCTTGCATTGTAAATGTATAGAAATATAAATCTAATTTTCAATCTATTGGTAGAACATTACTCCTCCGAACATCTTACAGTTTTTGTGGCTGGCTAATGGTCATTACTTTTTTTTCTTAATAAAAATAGTTTTATAATTAAGAAAACAACATCTTATTGTGCAACTGAAAGTTGCTGATGGCTTGTGCCATCTGTCAGAATAAATATAAACTATTTCATTGATTTTTATTATTCCAGAATTGGCTAAATATTTTGACAGATGGCGCAAGCCATCAGCAACTCTCAGTTGAACGATATGGAGGTGCATTTTTAAACACAAGGTAATAAGACCAAATCCAAATAAATAAATAGTGTGTGATGTTTCGGTAACAGCATTGTTACTATCTTCAGACAAAAGTGCTGAACCTATAAGCCAAATTGTGCCTTATCGAGATGCCTTTTTCTTAATTTATCCATTTTATCCCAGTTCAATTTCACATTCATACTATTTTTTCAGTTTGGAAATTGTTATTATAAATTTTATTTAGGTTTTGTTCACACACAAGTTAGGTATGGTTTGGTTTAGTATGAACCAAGTTCAGATTAGATTCTGCCACTTTTTTTTTTTTTCAGTAGGGGGTCGGTGGAAGGCTGGTTAAACCGTTTGGTTTCGACCACTACGACCCGGGTTCAATTCCCGCATTGGACACTTTTTTCTGATAAAAAAAAAATGCTTCAATGGCCCCTGATTCTTGCAAAAGTCCAACCCCACCAGCGAGTGCAAGTAACCAAACGGGGCTCTGGCACATTTGTAAGTGCAAAGTCGAACTGCTTTTCACATGTCTAGACATCTGGTGCACTTATAGTAAAAGCAGTCACCAACTTCTATCCTCCATGATTATCATGGCCTGTACCACGTCTACTAGGGATAATTAAAAAAAAAAAGTAGAGGTGTCCAAAAAATCTCTTTTAATCAACCCAAGCTATTTTTATAATTAAATTATTATATTTTAAACGAGTGTTGAAATATGAAACTTCACCTAGCCAAAGTGACTGCATGCTCAACACATCATTTTAACAAATGTTAAATACTCATTAAAAATAGTAATGATGTGACAGTCATTAATATTTTAATTTTATTCTACAACTTCTATCTTTTTATACAAAACTTACTTTCTCTGACCACACGAGTCCAAACCACCCCTATAATATACATTTGACATCTCAATAATTACAACTAAACACATGGGTATCAGGTACCATTGTAGGTACAAAAGTCAAACTGCTCTCTATATATGTAGACACGTGGGTTACCTTCAGTAAAATGTAGCTATCTACAATGATTATCATGGCCTGTACCAGGTGGGATAAGTAAAAAAGAACAAAAACTTGCACTCACAGGTGGGATTGGACTCTCACAAGTATTATTGCCCTAAGTGTGGCAGTTCTATATTGGTAGAAATCCTGTCATCCCACACAGTGTTCCCTGTGGCTCCAGGTGTGAAGATCCTGAAGAGGAACGGAGAGGCCCACGGGACTGTGGCAGTCCGCATGGAATCTGGAGAAGACTTTGAGGTGACCACACTGCGGAGGGACCTTGCTACAGACGGCCGCAGAGCCAAGGTGGAGTTTATCACAGACTGGCAGCAGGACTCTCTCCGCAGGGACTTTACAGTGAACGCCATCTACGCAGGTTTGTACCAGGATTGGTTAGTTGGTTCACCACACATTCTTTGGTTATCTCCACTCACTAGGGACAATGGTTTATATATATATGTGATGATGAGGTCTGATAGCCTCTTGTAGAATCCTGTCGACTTAAAATGTGATGAGATCCTGTTGACTCTCGCTATACTGTGTTGACCGAGAGGAACAGTCAGGATAAGGAGTTTTCCAGTACCTCTCTACACCTTGAAAGACCTTTTACAGCTCTCACAAAGTACAGGCAGTCGTGGTCGAGGCAGAGTGGAAAGCTTGGGAATGTCCACACAAAAACAAAGACACAGTTGCACTAGGAAAGTTCCGTGAATAGATGAAAGTTGAGCTAGGAGCGAAAGATGGAGATAGAAGAGTTCTTACTGTTCTACATGGTCGATGAGGTGGGCCTGGGGTACAACCGACGAGGGCTCACGCAGATGGTGAAGTGACTGTATTTTTGGCTAGGATGGAGGCTTTATATACCTTTTCTGAGAAAGGGAGTATTGCATTTCACCAGATGTGAAGAGTGTGGATCGTCTGGTGAAATTCTAAACTGGCGCCGTCCTGACAGTTTCCAATTTATCTTTAGATATTGTTTTGTGACTTCCATCTATCTCAAATTTAGATGTTTTTGACTTCTATCTCTTTAGCTCAACTCTTAATCTATTACAGAGTTTTATTTATTTATCCTCAGTTTGTACAAAGTACATTACATATGATGATTTAATGACACATGTCAATCATGCGTATAATCATTTACAGATATGTTTCTATTATACAACATGAAAATCTTGTTATAAGTTATATACAATATGGGGTTGTTGGTTTAAATTACCATAGATGGGCCCCGGGAGTGAAAGGGTTTATCCGGGTTTAAGCGTTACCCGTTAGCCTCTCTAACACAGGTAAGTAATTAAAATTTCTTTTAATTAATTCAAACTGTGAGGGTTAAAAAGGGCTATACCAAGATGATTTGTTTGGATTTATAAATTACATTTTTGTTTGATTTAAAAAAAAATGATGATTAAAATAAAATGACATGAAAATTCACATTCAAAGAGAATATCGGCGGGCGTTGGAAAGGGTTAGTAGTTGAAGAATATGAAATTGTTAGGAGTGCACATGTAAACCAAATACTTGGATCCAGGTGCAAAGCGAGGAAATAGACTTGAGCGTCTTCCTAGGCAATGTTTCACTTGCAATCCTATATAAGGGTTACAGTGCTTTATCACAATTTTAGGGTTATTGGGTTAAAAGTTGTTGAAGAAAAGTTGCTCATTAATATAATTGAAAGGGGTGGTAGAGCCATGCGATAAGTAGAATTGTAGCGACAGTATGTGATCTGACTTGACATGAAATCAAAGGTTGATTGTGGTCCGCTAGAGCTGATAAGAAAGTTGAAAAAAGTGTACGCTTTGTGCATGCATTGGTGATGTGCTCTGCGGATGATTGAAATAAACTCTTGAAGCGTGTTCAGGCAAGAAGTTGGAATTTTTAAATCTGGGGAACTGTGTTCAAAGAGTTCAATTTCGAAATAAAAAAAAATCACAATTTTAAGTTCGTTATAAGCATAGTATTTTTAATAGATTTTATCATTTTGGGACTGAAAATAGGTTTGTTATAGGGGTAGTTCGTTATTTTAAAAATCGCAAATTTCATTATAACGATGGTATTTTCAATGGAATGGAATTGGGAATCGCCGTGGTTTCATTATAAGGGAACGTTCGCCATATCCGGGGTTCGTATTAGCGGGGTTTTACTGTATATACACTTTTATGAAAATGTTTTACATAATTCTACCTTTTTTTATAACCTATATATAGCAAACCCCTATTATACAAAGTGTGAAAATATTGGCAAAATAGGTAGAAAAAATATCTGCATATACAAGTATCAGAGTCATCAATCAACAATTCTGTCACCGTTTGCTTTTGTGAATGGAATTGTTACACCTGATCATCATTTCATTAAATATAAAATGCTATGTTGTTTATAAATTTAATTATTTAAATAATTTGTATTTTTTTAGAATTTAATTATAAAACAAATTTTTGTAAATATATATATATGTAAATTTTTGTGTAAAAATTAATAATAGAGAATTTGCATATGTCTTGTTAGTTAGTTAGAAATAATAGTTTGTTTTTTTTTTGGGCAGAGAAGCTAGATGCTCTCAGGTTAGTTTTTCTCTTGTAAATATGTTTATATAATTTCTTAAAAGTCTCTAATTTAACTTTATTGTAAAAATAAATATAATTTCTTCAGAGGGGTACATATGTTTTTGTTGATTAAAAAGAAAGAAAATCTTTGAAAGAGGTGTGTGTGCCATCTGTCCTTCCTTCCACCCAATACCCAAATATGGCCATATTTTATAAGCATCGGTGGTTCAATGTTAGAATGCTCGACTGCCACGCGGGCAGCCCAGGTTCGATTCACCGCCGATGTATTTTTTTTTTTTTTCAATTTTTAAAACTCATTTATATTATTATTAAAATATACAAGTATCAGAGTCATCAATTCTGTCATCGTTTGCTTTTGTGAATGGAATGCTTTTACGTAAAATACGTAACTAATATGACTGAAATTTTAGCAGTATGTATAGTAGAATCTGGAAAAACTTATATTGAATATTTCAGGTCTCTATCCCGAATATTTTTCGAGTTATTTGCAAATTTGCTCTTTCGCTCGCAAGCAGCGCCTCTAGCGGTGAAGATGGGAGGTAATATCAGCTGACCTAATGTACATATAAAACGTGTTTTAACAGGACATAGAAAAAAATATGGAAGAGATATTTGTCGCATTTTTTAGCCAAGAAAAATTGAAATTGATAGGTTCTGGGCAAAAATAATGTTTTTTTTTAGTCAGAAAATGATTGCTGTATCATATTTGATTATCAGATACAAAATTATATCCGGAACAATTCCAAAAAGCAGAGACCACAGGTGAACCCAGTTCATTTTTAGTATGCAGGAACAAAATTCTAACAGAAAAACATTCATTCGAGCAGAAGACACAAAGCCAGATCATCGCTTTATAAAAATATCGCTTCTCAGACACAAAGTTTGGAGCGGGACGTTTCACAAGAACGACATCCACGGCGCCAATTTATAATTGTAACGAATAGTATTTGAATAAAAGCATTTAATCGGGTAAAACCCAGGCGTTGCCCGGGTCATTCAGCTAGTATACATACGAGGGTGAGTAGAAAAGTAAGGTCTCCTATTTTTTTTTTTTCATAGAAAAACACATTTAATCCCAACTTTTTATACATCATTGGAAGGGTTGAACACTTTGCTATTTTTCTACATAGTCGCCTTGATGCTCAATCACTTTTTTCATCCTGTCAACCAACTTTGTAATTCCGGTGTTGTACCACTCTCCCGCCGCCTCTTTGAGCCACTTGTCAACCCACCTGGCGGACACCTTTCTGTAGCCGAGGGTCTCAGACACAATCTTGTGCACGGAGAAGTGGCTGCAATCTTTATTCAGGCCATCCTCGAACTCTTCAAGGGTTATCCGCCGGTTTGCGCGCACCATTTCGTCGATGTTGGGTGGAAGGAAGGACAGATGGCACACACACCTCTTTAAAATATTTTCTTTCTTTTAATCAACAAAAACATATGCAAAATCTCTATTATTAATTAATTTTTACACAAGAATTTACATATATATATTTACAAGAATTTTTTTTTTTTATAATTAAATTAAAAAAAATACAAATTATTTAAATAATTAAATTTACAAATAACATAGTCTCTATATATATAAAAGTCAATTTCTGTTTGTCTGTTTCGCGATAAACTCACAAACTACTGAACCAATTGGTACCAAATTTTGCATGTCGCTTTTTATAAACCTGAGGAAAATTTTCGGCTGCATTTTGATTAGTATTTTTGGCTATTTCTTTTTTTCATTTGAAGAACTTTTTTTTTTACGCAGACTAATCCGGAATGGAATGAATACCTAAATATGGCCATTTTTTTTAAGCATCGGTGGTTCAGTGGTAGAATGCTCGCCTGCCACGCGGGCGGCCCGGGTTCGATTCCCGGCCGATGCATTTTTTAAAACAATTTTTAAAACTCATTTATATTATATATAATATAAATATATGTGGGATCGGTGCGATACCTTTTGAAGTTGGTTGATGATTGATTGAATTGATGTTGGCGCAGTCGTTGATGCTGAGTGATAAGGTATTCACAAGGGAAAATAACGAAACACAGAGTTTGGGTTTGAAAAGGCTAGCAATCTAGGGAGGAAGGCGTTGAAGCTATTTGATGAGTTGGCTATTGACTATCTATTCACATGATTGAGGATTGACTTATCTGATTGATTGAGGAGATGGGATTGGCTCCAAGTTGGTCTCAAAGCTGGTCCAGGGGCTAACTCGATCCTGTCCAGTTCCCAACTGCTCTCTATGGCGCCACGGTCCTAAATAACTATTCTTCGTTCCCGATTTAAGAAGAAAACTACTCAGGGTTCTGATTGGCTGGATTACCAGGGGTGCTGGATTTCCATTGGTTCCTAGCAAAATCTCCTATTCTCTCATTGGGTCTCTGCTATCCTTTGTTCTGGACTTGTGCTGACCTGTCCCAGGAAATGCTAGGTTCTTGAACTCAGTTTTATGAGTTCCGGGATAATAAAACCTGCTAATGATTGCTCCCTCTTCGAGGGCCTTTCTCTCCCAGATTTCTTAAGCCTTGTCTTTATTCAAATCTTTTAAAACATACATTGCATATATATTTGGGCGGGTTTGCCTCCAGTTATGTACAAATTATGACAGATGCGCCCCCTACATGTGAAGAATTCATGAAGGGGAAAACCTGAGTGAGTTCTGTAAAGGGAAAAAATAATTTTGTGGGAAAATTAGTTGGTTATAGAGAGGCTATATACAAGCATTGGTAGTGATATAAAAGATAAAAGAGAATGGTGTTAATGATATATAGCTTGCATATAATTAATAGAAATCAAAATTTTTTTAATTGTAAGACATCAAAATGAATACTATGGTACATAGTGGGATGAAAGAAAAGAAAATGCGCCTAAACGATATTCTACTCGAGATTGGAAATGAAAATCGAGGGAGTTTTATTAGGTCTTTTGAGAAATCAAAATAAAATAAAAGTTGGAAGAAATCAAAGTGAATGCTTGTGCATGGTGAGAAAAAGGAAAAGAAAAATGCTTTGTCGCATGGTGAAAAAAAAAGAAATGCCTAACTATATTCTACTCAAAATTGGGAATGAAAATTGAGGGAATTCTATTAGGTCTTTTGAGAAATCAAAAATAAAAATAAAAAGTTGGAAGAAATCAAAGTGGATGCTTAAGGCATGGGAAAAAAAAAAAAGAGAAAAAGGTTTTTGTAAATCAAAATAAAACATAATATCTAAGTAAACAGAAAACCAGTGAGTTTTCGTTGATAAAATTTGTTTAGTTATTGAATTATGAACAAAAATAAAAGAGGTGGTAAATAAAATGGTAAATAATTGCTAAAATAAATGATAAGTAATTGAATTAGGAAAAAAAAAGATAAATTGGATTAAGTATTTTGAATTAAAATAAGAAAATATTGTAAATGAATGATATATAAAAAAATATGTATAGAGTGAGGTTCGCAAGTTCGCTTTGTAATTACATGCCACAATCTATCATGCTCGCAATCAATTAATTATATGTACCTTGCAGATTTTTTGTCTTTCCTGTGCGACTCTTCGGTAGAAACATGACCTGTCCCAATTGTGCGGATTTATATGTGTATACAGGAGACATGGGAATCTAATTAACCTTACGTGTGCATTTTGTCTTTGTGTTGTGTTGTTTTTCGAGATCTCAATGCCGAATGTAGTATGTTAATATGTCCCGAGCCTTAATGCGTTCTAGGGATTTTTATGCAATTCCCTAGGGCACTCAAGTTATGCTCGCCCAATACCCACTTTTTATATCGGGTATCGATACCTGAGTCAAAACTTTGAATACAGGATCTGAGGAGAGTCCTCGATCCTTCTAAAATGGTTGTTTAATCCCTTCGGAAGAAAACGTAAGCTCGAAAGCTTAGCTACCTAATTTTTCCTATCATTTAAGTGGTTATGTGCGTGTTTTGTTCATAATTAACCTTGAGATCTGCGTGTTTTAAAGTTCAACATCTGTGTGTCTAGGTGTGAAAAATGTAGTTTTGGAAGTCTTTAGAAACAAAAAATAGAAATGTGAACTCATTTGGATGTGTTTGTAACGTATCAAGTCTTTTGTTATTAATATTATTAAATTGTGTATTTTGTAAAAGTCGATATGTATGTTCAGACTGGAATCCCAGATTGGTGACAAAATTTGTGGACGGGGAAACGTGGTGACCTCAATTTATAGCTGTCGGCCAAGAGGGGCCGCGAGGTGGGAAATATGACCCATGCCCGGATGTGTGGGGAAGGTTTTCTGAAGCCGTCTTCCTCCCCTCGTGTATAAGTAATTTGATGACATAGCTGCGGCATCTTTGTCGTGCGACTCGAACGGCCTCCATCTCATTTCCGGCTTCCCTAATTGTTCTCCAAATTGAATCTGCACGTCGTCTTGGGGTGTCTTAATTGTTTGCTGGCTGAGGCCCCTTTAAGTTGTCCAAGCTCTCTGTGAGAATCTCCCATAGAATATCTAGGATTTTTACAAGTGCTTGGCTTATATGGACGACGGATTTTAAGACTGATTTTCCTATATGGAAGATTGATTTTAGGACGGAATTTCCTATATGGAAGATTGATTTTAGGAAGGAATTTCCTATATGGAAGATTGATTTTAGGACGGATTTTCCTATATGGAAGACTGCCTCCTGCAGCTGGAACAGCCGGTGGTAGGGTAGGGTATAAATTAGCATGTGAACGATGAATAAAAATGGGACGAGTCCATAGGGTAGAAATAAAAAACATATAATAGCTATTAGATGAAAAATGGGATATTGGCACATCTTCTTCCATGTTTTTGCCATGAACTGTGGCTCTGGGCTATCTGGTTGGACTTCTATTAATTGTGACAAATTTGAAACGGGGTGTGTTTGTGGTTGTTCTATGTCGGCATTCTTGTTACCGTGGGTGAATTGCGTAAATCGTTTTTTGGAAAAGATGGTAGGATCTAGATGCTTGAAAGGCTCGCTGTTTGTTGGTTTGAATTTCAACGGTTCTGCTGGAAACAATTCTGATGTGAGATGTTTAAACGGGAACGTATAATTGTGTTTGTGTCGTATATGGTGTATCTTAATGGCGGGGGGTGATATATATTGGAAGTTTTCTGTATATAATTTAAGTTTGTTGACGTGGATCGTATCGGTATCTCTTTGGAGAGGTTGGTTGGGTCTATCGATACGGACCACGTTTGGTGAGACGACCTCTAATATGGTGTATGGTCCTGTGAAATAGGGGGCGAGTTTTCCTGTGTTGGGGTGATGATATAATTTAACTAACACCAGGT